AAAAATGCACAAAGAGCTTGTATGGAGATTTTTCCATCTACAGATTTTTCCCTGACCTTCTTTTCTCTGTACATTAAGGGTGCACACTATTGCTGAAAAACACAATCACTACCTGGCAGTCAGTATGCACAAAGGCACAGATCCCTAAACAAGATCATATCTGCAGATGAAACTTTGTTTGTAGAAGCATTTTTTAAATTTGAACTAGCACCTCATGACTACACCGCGTTATGTACGAGAAGCTGCAAAAGACACAGGCACAAGTGGAATGTACAAAACATGGTGACATTCATTTTTAAGTAAATATAATGGGCGATATATTGTGTCACCAAAAATGATTGAGGTCATGTACATATATTGCGTTATAAGTCGATATATTGATTATTGCGACAGGCCTACATAAAATCAAACAGCAGGAAATGGGAGCGTACCGTGTGTGTGTTCCCTGTGCAGGAGCTCTGTGTGGGGGAAGACTCGCATCAGGCAGGCCAGTGTTTGGGCCAGTGTGGGCTCCAGCAGGGGCTTCAACACGTAGGAAAGGGCCTGGCCGGGCGGAGCCAGGGCCCTTTGACCCGCAGGTACTATGGAGCGCAGAGCACAACCAAAGTCTTGTGGCCACAAAACGATAGAGGCCACGTCCAACTGATAACGCTGGCTGCTGCTGTAGATCTGAGGATAGCGCCGCCGCAGAGCCGCTAGCACAGCCTCTGTTTTGATGTCGTTGATGTCGGCCCCACAGTAACCTGAGACACAGGGAAACAGCAGAGAACGTCACTATGTGAATACTGTTCATACTGTTCAAAACATTAGTAAATAGCTAACTGTAAAAAAGCTTTTCACAAATTGCATTTTATCTTTTCATTTTTGTTAATTTTAATAATTCTGTTTTCGTTTTCATTTTTCTGGATTTCATTTAATGGTTAAAATAAATGTAAGTAAACATTAGAAAAGAAAAGTTGATATTGCTTAAACTTTATTATTATTACTATTATTTGTAACGCTTTACAATAAGGTTCCATTAGTTAATGGTAGAACAAATGATGAACAATACATTTATTACAGTATTTATTAATCTTTGTTAATGTTAGTTAATGAAAATACAGTTGTTCCTTGTTAGTTCATGTTAATTCACAGTGCATTAACTAATGTTAACAAGCACAACTTTTATATATGTTGAAATTAACATGAACTTATTGTATAGTGTTACCCTATTATTATTATTGTTAACATTAAGAAGTCAGTGTTTTTTTTGTTCTTACAATAGCCTTATGATTTTTTGCTCAGAAATTCTGTGCTGTGCATTTACATTTTGTTTTAAGGCATAAAACATTCATTTAAGCTATCTTTTAAGTAATGAAAATTAAATGCTCATGAAGTGACTCTCAGAGCAGTTCTGGAGATGTTGTTCGTGGAACAACTCCACTGTGCGTCATGCAGAGAGCGTGACCATAACGTAGAGACCGAAATGACATGCCGTCGTGTAAATAAGATAAATAACATAAGGCTATTTAGTTTGCTTAATAAAAGAACAAGGTATATACCTGTTCTATAGGAAAGGTAACTTTAAATGACTTCTGTTGTGATCTGGCGCTATAGAGAAAATATAATTAAATATTAACTTGACCTTCAAGGGGGGCGGGCCCCCTTGAACTGGAAGAATTACACTGGAAGTACACTCTAAGTTGACAGAATAGCCTTGTCTACAGTAAAATATTAACACTGTGTTCCAGTTAACTAATTTTATATTTGGGAAAACAAACTGCTATTTGATTTTGGACTTCAGGTTACAAACAATAACCAAGAAGGTACATTTAAAGCAAATAAAATGCTTCAGGGAGTCAAAGTTTCTACATTAATAATAAAATCTGTTGAACAAATGTTGACACCTGTGTAAAACATGGTAAATGATCTTTGATTATGAGATTTCCGTTTGTTTCTTTATGTTTCATCTTCCAAATATCTGACATCAAAACACTTTATGGTCCAGAGAAATCAAGTAGTACGAGCTCACTGACTTTGAATATAGATTAAACAAGATTGCCTGTGATTTTGTCACTTTGTGCAGCATTTCACTATCAGTGAAGAAAGAAATGACTTGAAACCCAAAACGTGTTAATGCTGCGACTAGTTGGGTTGAGATATAGAGCTGAAGCTAGAAAAGCATCTCTTTTGCATCCATCTTACCGACACATTTCTCAGCTAGCTCATCTATGAAGGGTTCAGCAAGCTTGGGGCTCCAGTCCCTGGTGTGGATTTCCAGAATGTGCTTTCGAGCCTGTTGATGAGCATAAACACAATCACAGACAGTGTACAGATAAAACAAGGCACTTCAAAACGCACAGCAAAACTGTTTTGATCATAAACACCTAACAAAGGGGCTGGTAAAAACATAAGAGCTAACGTTTGATTAGCCAGCACCCTGCTGAGAAGACAAACTACATACACATCCAGGAATTAGACCAGCACAGAGCTGAACTCATATTCCAGCTCAGGCATTGATGATGCACACAATACTGGGGTGTAGATATGTTTGACAATTATATAAGTTGTGTTTTAGTTTTATAAGTGTTCCTATTCTTGTTTGTTTGTTGTCACTACCACTTGAGATTCATTTTTTTTCCTGTGACAAAGTATATAATAAAATAATAATATAATGAAATACAAAAATATATATGTATATATGGAGTCTAAGTCCACTAGTGAACATACAGTATATTAAGTATTTAGTATTTTCTCATTACTAATTACGTTTTAAATTTTGACAACAACTCTGATTAAATATATATGATATACAAAAAATGTATATATGTGGGCTGAAACCATTAGTGAAAATGTATTTGTATTTTTACAATTTAATGTAATTTTTTCATTACAAATTATAAGCTGTACATTTTTAAACAAACAAACAAAACCCTGACAAAAAAATGTTTTTTGATGATTTTCATGCTATAAAAAAAAAAATCCAGATTTAGCGTAGTCAAACTTTTGGACCCCAATTGTACAAAATAATATTATATTATTTATTACAATTATTCAACAAAATAGTACTGCATTAAATTCTGTTGATCATCAATGTTTTCAACTTTTCTGGTTTCATTGATGTATATACAATATACTGATAGGTTCAAATGCTGTTTAATGCTCTCACCCTATTAGAAATCCTCATTTTTGCTCAATACTACTCTGACTGGTGGACAAAGGAAAAATTGATATATTTAACATCTAATGATATAAATTTAAAAACATACTTCCCTCAATGTTTATTTGTAGATTGATAGTGAGGTAGATATGTGGGGGCGTGTTAGAACGAGCCGTTTTAGGGGGGCGTGGCAGAGTCTTAACTTTGATAAAGAATATCTCTTTGGTTTTGAGACTTTAGTCTTTGCAACTTCAGGGATCTTATCTATGCACAATCAGCTTGTAACACTCCAAAGAGAAAGGAAAACTTGAAATTGCATCATATGACCCCTTTAATATTTGGTCAAAACATTAGCTTGACTGTATAAATGACTTTATGCAAGAAATTTACAAGTTACTCATTTTAAAGGTAACATTAAAGGCTTCAACTCTGGTCATGAAATGTTTTGATCTAAAGCAGGAATGCTCTGATATCAGCAGAGATCGGCATGCTAAACTAATCTCTTCAAAATTAACTGGCATTCCATTTGTCAAATTGTCAATGAGCTGGAGCAAACAGAATCTATGAGATTATCACAGATAAAAGACAGGTTTTAGCGGCCAAACCAGCTGCAAAAGACTTGAAACTGAGCTGTCAGACTATTTCAGGATAAGTGTTTTGAGTGAGGGACACGAGGTCGCTCTGGGACACAGAGTATCAGTTGGCTAAGAAATACTCGCTGAAGTTAAAAAGGTTTCACGCACCTTTTTATCTGGCAGGTTGAACAGAAACTCCCGGTCAAAGCGTCCGGGCCTCCTGAGTGCGGGGTCGATAGAGTCGAGTCTATTTGTAGCACCGATGACCACTATCTCCCCCCGGCTGTCCAAACCATCCATCAATGCCAGTAATGTAGACACTATGGAGCTAAAAAATAAAAATATAAAACAAAATGACTGGCTAACCTTGTCAAATGTAAAATGAATAGGTGTTGTTGTGTAAATGTGTGTAGCACATCAAACTCTTTGAAAGAGCAAGAAAAATATTGTTTTCCATGATACATTCCTTGTAATACCAAAACCCTTTGTGTGGAAATCATATGAACTACATGATTTTAGGGATATGCCGGTATCAAAATTTCATGTTGCGATTAATTGCTAATGCTTTTATCACGGTATACTGTATTATCGCGATATTTAAATTTAGTTTTATAAAAAGTTCTGTCATAATACAGTATAACAGGTTTAATAACTTTTTTCTTATAACAAAAATAACTGAACATTTAAATGCAATAAAGCAATACAGAAATATAAGGGTTTACTCTTAGTTTTTTCTGTAATTTAATTACAGTTACTTCTGATGTAATTACATTAAATACTGTATAGAACAATAGTGGATTTAACATCAGAATGTAACATAATGTTAAAATATATGTTTTTAATGTAACCTTCTCCCTTTAAATACTTTGGTCAGTTCAAGAATAA